AGTCTATTTTTTCTCTGGACAAATCCATCAGCTAACACTGATGGTGACCCTGATTACCATCGGAAAGTTCAGGTGAACTCTGTGTGACTGTCAAGTTCTCTCACTTGAGGACGGGTTATTGTTTATCCTGAGAACGTGTGTAAGGGGTTGTATCACCTTGGCTATATAATAGGGTGAATATGTATGTATTTATGTATTTATTTATTTGTTTATTTATCTGTACAATCTCTTAGCAGATTGCCAAGTGATGCACATCACATTCTGGTTTAATGTTTATTCAATAATCAAAGTGTTTTCTCTTTCTACTCTCTTTGTGGAGAGGTTTTCCTAGGTTGGAGAAGATTTTGTTTTTAATTATATTTTCCCAACACAAGACATTGTGCTAAATTCTGTGGTGGTAAAAAGGTTTAAGATACAGTCTCTGTAAGTTTTTACTATTGTCTAGTAACAGAATATAAGAAAAGTTATGGGAAACATAAGAATGGGACCATTTCAGCTGAGTCTTAAAGGCTGGGAGGATCTTCAAGGTAGACAAAGATAAAATGGGAATTGCAGATTGGAGCTGAAGCCAAATACACTGAGGGTCTGAGTGTGGGGCGCTCTCCTGGGGCCAAGGCCAGGCAGAGAGGGCATGAAGGAATATACTAGAAACAGGAGGACATGAGGATGGTGGGCTTAGGAGGGGCTGTTTGTCTCCGGAGCACTCAGGAAAGTCCAGTTTAGTCTGAGTGGAGGGGGGTTCCTGTAAGGATGCAGAGAGAGCCAAGATGGAGAAGGTAGAAGAGAGGTAAGCAGGATGCCCTCAAGAAACTCTAAGGAGAAATCATAAATGACTTTGAAATAGGCAAAAAAGAGAAAAAACATTACTGGTGTCTTACCTAGCACACCCTTTGGGACCATCTCCCCTCTTTATTGTCTGAGCTAATTGACAACTCTGCAAGTTGTAGGAGACCGACAGCAGTGAGATGATTCTTGTTCTTGGAAATAGAAATTGTGTCTGGTGGAGGTGCACTAGACAACTGCCTTGCAGACAGGCACCAATTTTACATTTATCTGTGCATTTGTCCCAGTGTTTCTGGAAGTATCTCATCCATGTTACTGCTGAGGCTGTGGTCTGTCCATCCCCGTTGCTGTACAAGATGCCACCACGGAAGCGCTCCACAGAAATTATCATTCTACTGTGGATGCACCCCGGCTGGCGCTCAGTTTGGGGCCACTGTGAACAATGCTGCCACCAACATTTGTGTGTGTGTGTCTACATATCCTACACGTGGATGCATTTTAAAAACGCAGGCCAAAAAGCAACTCACTGCATGAACCCACATGTATGATGGGAAAGGACCAGCTGGGTGTCCCAGATCCCAGTGATAATCCGTATTGTTTACGGGTGAATATCTAGGCATAGAACTATAAGAACAAGCAAGGAAGTAAGGACCCTAAAAGTCAGGATCGTGGTGACTTCTGGGAGGGTGGTGGTGGTGGTCCGGAAGGGACCAAGGGCGGCTGCTCAGTTCTCTCCCACTCCCAGGAGATCAATTTATCATAAGTTGTTAACTGGCACACTGTTCTTTGAGTGTATGTTTCACAATGAATATAGGTTTAAGGAAAAGGACAAAGAGGGTCTGGGAAGATATTTAGAGTGATGTGATACAGGTTTTCTTCCCTACCAAGACCCATAATCCCAAATAGCTGTGCTTTGGCCAGACCCTGAAATGAAGTGGTTGAAGTGCCCACTGTGGCCGGAAAGCCACGAGAATTCCAGCCCTCACAGTGGCCAGTGCGTTCTGAGCCCCCAAGGCAGGATGAGGGTCCGGCGGAAGCCTCAGTCTTCCCTTGGGTCTCCTGGGCAGACTCAGTGACGCAAGAGAGCACAAACCCGCGGGATCCCTGGACTGTGCGTCTGGAAATCGGAACAAATCCTTGGAATGCCCAGCAAAGACCTCGCCTGTGCCACCTGGCTCCGCGGCCTCGTAACTGTTACCTGTGATGGGACAGCAGGCATTCCCCTGCAGAGCTCGTCCACTGCAGGTGTTGGTTCTGAACATCTTCAAGGGGGGAAAGTTTGAGCCTGATGAACACAGGGGTAGCTGAGGACTCTTTTCCAGGTCAGCGGTTGGGCTGGGGAGGGTGTAGTTAAGTGTGCCAGATCCCAGGAAGGGAGTCTTTGAGGCCAGGGTGTCTGACACTGCTGCCCTTCCACAGCCCAGCCAGGGTGGGAATGGGGTGCCTCCTGGGGGATGAGAGGTAGGGAAGGGGATGGAAGATGGTCCTTCACTGGGTTAGCTATGGCATGTCCCTTTCTTCCCTGCCTGTCACAGCCTCATTTGAAAGTAGTCAGTGATCTTAAGGTGCACAAACTTTCTGAGCCTCAGTTTCCCATAATGACAACATGTATTGTTTCTTGAGCATCAAATATGGGGCCAGGCAGTGTGGTCGGAACTTTATTTACCACACCTTAATCCTCATAGAAACTCAACTTGGACCCGTCACCTGGCTTCCACTATTATCAACTCACAACGACCTCCACTGTAAAAGCAGGACTTGAGGCTTAGCAAGGTCAAGCCAGAGCCAGAGCTTCATTCCAAAGCCAAGCGGTCTCCCCCGCCCCATCTGTGAAGTGGGGAGTGACGGTTGTTGAGTAGGGTGGGGGTATGGCTGGCATGTGGCTGCCACAGAGTCCGTGCTCCCTTCCCAAGGGCATGGGGAGGGGCCAAGTCAGCCTGAGCGTTAAGAGGGATTCACCTGAGACGGGCTGAGGCTGTTTTCTGCCCTGCATCCCTGTAGGCACAGGAAGATGGCTATGAATGCACCCAGGACACACACACACACACACACACACACACACACACACACACACACGCAGTGGTCCCTAAGGCTCAGCAGCCCTGCTGTCACCTGTCTCTTTTCACAAAGCCCAGAGTCCCCTGAACAGACCCTGGCGGCCCGGCTCACCAGACACATTTTCTCACCTGCTTTTCACACAGTCCAATCTTCTTTACTTTGGGTTCAAGTTTGTTCGTTTGTTTACTTACTTATTTATTGCGTTGTCAGAAAAGTCATGACGCATTTTTGCAACAAAAAAACGTAGAAAAAATACGTCATGACTTTTCCGACAACCCAATATTTTACCTTATGTTTTCTATCTCAGGTATTTGGAAAAGGAAAAGAACCTTTTTGGGGAGGAGGGAAAATCCTAAACGTCCCAGGCATTTCTTTGAGCTCGGCTGTGGACTTACAAGGCAGACGCTGCAGCGCTCTGTCAGATAGGCGTTAAGCAATGAAAACTGACAGGTCCCAACAGTCCTCAGCGAGGGACTCAGTGAGTCTCCTCCTGTCTTTCACACACCAGGGTTTCCACTCATAATTTCTTTCTGAACACCGTGTTTTCCAACAACACAAACCTTCTGAACCTGAATGTCCTCACAATAATGATAACAGTGCATGTCAACATTGAACATCAAACTTGTGCCGGCCATTTAGTAATTAAAGTCATTTTCAGTATCAATGCAATAGATGCTCTTTATAAAAACGTAGGTGCAGAAAAAAGCATGGAAATGAAAAGAAAGCAAAACCAAACTAATCTACAATCCAATTTTCCAGAATCAAACACAGCTAACTTTTAACTTCTTTCCATCCAATCTTTATGCATATTTTTATATTCATATGTAGCATATTTATATTTAAAATTTGGATGCTATTTTAAAAGATTTTTATTATAAAATTTTCAGGTATATATAAAAAGAGAACCCCACGCATCCATCACCCAGCTTCAACAATTAGTAGCTCATGGTCAATATTTCACCTATTCCCCACTTCACATCCTACTGTATTGTTTAAAAATAAATTCAGACATCATAGCATTTCACTCATGAACAGTTAAGTGTGAGTCTCTAAAAGAAAAGGACTTTAAAAATAATAATAACTTTAATACTATTTCTCAACTTAAAAAGTTAACAATATTTCCTCAGTACCATCCAGATGCATTCTTAAATTATGCTTTTTAAAAAATTAATGTCAAATCATGAGCATTTCTCCAGGCCCCCAAAATGTAACTGCTAATGCTTCTAATCAGATTCCATCATGTCGAGCATACTGTAAATTATCTAATCACACTGTCCCCCACTCCTCAGGCCACTTTGTCACTTAGACTGCAACATCCTCAGGTAAATGGTCTCCCTTGTTGGCAGCATCATTACCCACTTTGACCTCTGACCACAGTGGCCCACCCTGCACACCCACAAGTTCTGATCGAGTCCTCTGCACCTACCTGAGCTGGGCTTGGGAAGGGAACTTTTGGATGTGCCAATCAGCCACCCTGTCCCACGCAGACTCTGCCAGAGAGTATTTCCCTTTTCCTCCCACTGAGGACATCTTTATTTGTAGAGTTAGCCAATAGTGTCTGGTTTCCTGTGAGGTAGGGTATCTTTAGAAAGTGCCACAGGCAGATTCGAGCTCCAGCCTGGAGGCCAGCTGATCACAGGAGGATCTGAATACACAAACCTGGAAGATGCAAGCCTGGGGCAGACTAAGAGGCAGGGCTGGAGGGAGAGATGATTGGGGGGCTGTGGTTTTTACCCCTACATGGGTGGAGGGCAGGGAAGACAGTGCAGTTCTCTTTAATTGCATGCCTTTAGACAAGCCAAGGAAGCCCACAGAACAACAGTTTTCCTGCCCATGGAAAGGAGCCCATTATACTAATTGGGGTGCAGATTAAATGAGCTGTGTATTTCCTCCTCAAAATGTAGTCCCAGCTGGGAGCGCATTAGAAGTGCAGCACCTCAGATGCCTCCCTAGACCCACTGAATCTGACTCTGCATTTTAATGAGGTTCTTAGGAGATTTAGTAAGCACCTTGAGTTTGAGAAGCATTGACACAGAAAGCACCAAGGGAGTGCCTGGCACCTGGTAGAAGTTTAAGGATTATTTTCTTCCTCACCTCCCTCCTTCAAGGCATTTAGTGGCTCCCTATGCCTGTGTCTCAAGTCACTGTAAATTACATACCTGAAAAGCCCAATCGTCACCCTTCACAAACTGGCCAGCCTCCTTTCTGGTTCTCTCTCACTGCTGCCCCTGCTGCAGCTGGACAGGGACCCCCGACTCCTCCAGGCCAAGCTCCTGCTCCCGGCCCCAGCCAACTTGTTCTGAGGCAACACAAATCTCAACCACCAGTGTCCTCACGCCTTCCCATCATGGCCTTAGCTGTCTGACTCATGTTCAAGGCAATTACTATTTCGGGTCCATCCCTACCCGGGGGTCTGGCCTCAGTGAACCATCCACATTTAACAAATGGTCAGGGACTCCTGCTGGCCTTCCCCGGCTCCTCCCAGCCCACCTCGAGGCCGGTGCCCCAGCACAGCCGTAGCTCCAGTCACTGTGGTCCCCTGAGAGCAGGGAGGTACTGTGTGCCCCACTTTGCCTCCTTCTCAATCCCCATTACGGCCCGGCCAGGGCAGAGCAGTTAGCTGGGACTACAGGGCTGCAGGCGTGGCGACTTGCTGGCGTTTGAGGAAGTCCGCCACTGGTTTCATTTCTTTGTCTGCCCCTGGCCTCAGTGTTAGAGCTTTTCCATTGCCTTTCACTCCTGTCCCATTTCCCCGAGTGCGCTTTTCTGGGGTCTGGCCAGAAAGAACTCTTTCTTCGTGTCCCTCACTCTCCCTGGACTATCTCGTCTACTCCACGTCAGTGACCACCTGTGTGACCTGACTCCCACGTCTCCATCTCCAGCAGGGCCTGCATGACCTCCCGTGCCTATCCATGTCCTTCATACCTCTTGTCATTTATACTATCAACCGGTCTCCACTCAAAAGCCAGAGGGTTCCTTTTAGAACCCAAACTACCGCTATAAACCCTTCGATAGTCCCGCTCACTGCAGTTCAAGTCCTCGGCTTGTAAGCATGGCCTTGGCATGGTCCCATCCCTTCGCACTTTCAACTCTACTCTAACCACCTCCGGTTCTTCTGGAGTGACCTCCTAGTAGGTACATATGTAGCTGCTCCTCCCTTCCCAGCTCACCTAGTTGGCGGGCCTGGAATTCGATTTTACCCTCTTTCTAGCCAACAAGTAAGCCTTTATTCATCAACAATGCTGGCGGAAGACAGGACTTGATGACTCATGGCCCAACCAGCAGCACATTTGTGTCAGTTCCCTTTTCTCCCAAATCCCACAGGTTGGGCCCAGATGGACACCTGCACATGAAGGAGGTTTTATGATGGGGAAGGAACTCAGAGCTTGGGGAAGATGGCATGCCACAGAAGGCAGTGGGCAGGCCTGGTTTTTGGCCCTGAGGGACATGTTACCGCAACCCTCAGACTGCAAACACATCCCCGAGAAATGGCCAAGAAAAGAGAGGCTGGAGCTCTGCACTGATGGCACATTTGGCCAGAAGGGAGGGCCTCGCAGCCTTCCCACTCCCGCCACACCTCCATGGGCTTAGGAAAGGCATCTCTGTCTCTGCCCTGGGGACCTCCTCCTCCCTGGACCCCTGTCCATTCCTCCCCAGCCCTCTCGCTCTGGGCGGCTGCCCCATTCCTTAGACCAGTCTTCACCCCTCACCTCCCCAGCCCCTTTGGTCTCACCCTTTGTCTGAGCTGTTTCTTACAAAAGAGCAGAACATGCCACCCCAAAAATATTCCACTTCACCATATTGATTATTTTGAGCTGTAGGCGCTTGAAAACATCAGAAGCAAGGAAAGGCTTTCTCTGAACCCTTCCTATCTACCTTATGACAGATCCTCCAAAAGGAACGCAATTGTCATAACTCCCCTCTCTGGGAGTTTCATCAACTAGGACAGCTGACGCTTGTCGCAGGAGAGGCTAAAAGTTGACACCAGACCCACATAACTTTGTCACAAACCATCACACCTCCATCTGTGTTCCTAACGACCTATTCATCTTCCCTGAAAATCACTTGCTCTCCCCTAAATTGTCTACATCCCCTCCTGTCTTTTCCCTATTACACTGGTATTTAAACCTGAATTCTAAGCCACCTGGAGGAGTTGCTCATTTACCCCTGGGTATCTCCCATCTATACATGAGGTAGACATATCCATAACTTTCTGTTTGTTTTTTGCTTGCTAATCTGTCTTTTATTATGAGGTCTCAGCCAAGAACTCAAAAGGGTTGAGGAAAAATTATTTTTCCTTCCCTACATTTCCTGGCACCTGACTTGCTCAGAGCCTGCAGATGGGATCCTGGGAAAACTGGCAGAAGCCAGCAAAGGGGGGAAATTATTTTTCCTCCCCTATACTTGTCAACAAGTTCTTTATCACCCTCAATTTCTCTTGCAATTGAGACAGTAACTGCCGACAACAGCCTGATTTCTGTTGGGTGGTGGGATGAGGGTGTGCTGGGCTGGTTTAGAAGTAGGAGCCATGGTGGAGAGGCCATGAGGATGGTGGCAACAGCTGGCAGTGATGGGCACAGGCATACGAGGCAGGTCAGGACTGGAGACTTAGTTTGAGTGAAGCTTTGTGGGGGAAACACGGCAAAGGGAAGTATGGATATGATTATGCCTTGAATGCCAGGCTAAGATATTTCCACTTTATGCTGTGGGCTGTGGGAAGCTTTGGGGATGACCACAGCAAACCTTTATGCAGCAAGGCTATGTGCTAGGCAATATTCTAAGTCCTCTATGCATGGGAACTCATGCAACCCAATGACCCCAGATGCAGGTACTATTATTATGCTCATTTACAGGTGAGGACACTGAGACAAGGAGAGGTCATGTAACTTGCTCAAGGTCACACAGCTCATACGTGGCAGAGCCAGGATTTGAATTTAGCGTTTAGGTTCCATGGTCTGTGCCATGCATTCTCAATGGGGGGACAGTTCTTGCAAGGGGGTGAAAATTGGCCCTTGTGCTTTATGTCTAAAGCCCAGATATGCACACAGTACACTGACAGATAGACAGCATGTCTATGTTGTTAAAATCTCATGAGAGGTGATTAAAAGTATAATGTCTATCCCAGACAAGAAAAAGCTAGAGTTCATCACCACCAAACCAGTATTACAAGAAATGTTAAAGGGACTTTCTTAAGAAGAAGAAAAAATAAAAAGATAAAAAATATGAAAAACAAAGTGCCAATAACTACATATTCCTCAGCAATTATTTTAAATGTAAATGAATTAAATGCTTCAATCAAAAGACACAGGGTGACTGAATGGATAAGAGAACAAGATCTTTATCTACGCTGCCGACAAGAGACTCACTTCAGATCAAAAGACACACACAGACCGAAAATAAAAGGATAGAAAAAGATATTGCATGAAAATGAAACAAATAAAAAAGCTGGGGTAGCAATATTTTTACCAGACAAAATAAACTTTAAAACGAAAGCTATAACAAGACAAAGAAGGACCCAGCAATTCCACTTCTGGGTATTTATCTGAAGAAATCCAAAACACTGATTCGAAAAAACATATGCACCCCTATGTTTACTGAAGCGTTATTTACAATAGCCAAGATATGGAAGCAACCTAAGTGTCCATCAATACTTGAATGAATAAAGAAGTGGTCCACTGGAATATTACTCAGCCATAAAAAAGAATAAAACTTTGCCATCTGCAACAACATGGATGGACCTAGAGGATACTATGCTAAGCGAAATAAGTCAGACAGAGAAAGACAAATATCATATGATTTCACATATATGTGGAATCTAAAAAAACAAAATAAATCAACAAACAAAACAGAAACAAACTCAGATACAGAGAACATTTTGAAAGTTGCCAGATGGGAGGGAGGGTTTAGAGGCTGGGTAAAAAAGGGGAAGGGATTAAGAAGTACAAATTGGTAGTTACAAAATAGTCATGGGGATGGAAAGTGCAGCATAGGGAATATAGTCAATAATACTGTAATAACTAAGTATGGTGTCAGGTAGTTACTAGATTTATCGGGGTGATCACATCTTGAGTTATATAAATGTCTAATCACTATGTTGTACACCTGAACTAATATAATATTGCATGTCATTTGTAATTGAAAAATAAAATAAAGTGGAAAATAAAGTTAAAAAAAGAATATAATGTCTAAAAGGACTTATTGGGGGAGGATAATGAAAAAAATAAAAAAGGTTGAGAAACCCATGTCTAAGCTGTTGAACAGAATACTCTGCCGCATCTCATGTTTAAAGCCTGGGGTTAGGGAGTAACATGACAAAAGTGACAGTGCCAGAAAAATAAACCAGTGGTTGGATGCATATGAGGGAAAGCTGCTGGAATAAAAGGGAAGGAACCACATATAGCAAGTGCTTTTCCATGCCAGGCACTGGGCAAGGGACATTGCCCATATCTCTTTTGGACTTTCACCTTCAAATTAGGTATTATTATTTCCATTTCAGATGGTGACATGAGGAGAAGAAAGCAACAGGCCCTAGGCCACACAGCTGGAAAAGGGCCGGGTCAGGACCTGAGCTTCCCAAATTGGAATGCAGGCAGAGAGAGCAGAGAGAAGGGATCTTGATAAAGGAGGATGCGCAGAATTGGTAAAAGATTGGACAGATTTGTTTTTTTGGTTTTGTTTTTGTTTTTTTAGCTGAGCCATCCTGCCACCTGTTGACAGCTCAGTGGCAGCTCAGCTCGGGCCGGGAATCGAACCGCTGTTGCTCAGAGCTCACACTCTTGAGCGAGCTCTTTACCAACTGAGCCACTCGGCCGGCCCATAGTCTGTGGTATTTTGTTATGGCAGCCTGAGCAGACTAGTACACCAAGTTTGAAGTCAATTAATCAGAGTAAAATTCTTTTGCAGAATTTAAGAGCTGACGACCACTAGGAATGCTACAGTTAAAAATCTAGGTTTGTTTAGCCTGCTACAGTGAAAGAGGGCACACACCAGAGGGTCCAGGGAGCATCTCCATAAGTGGGAGTTGGGAGGTTCTTCTTATAGGATTTGGGCTTGTGCTAAATGAGTCTCAGGAGGGATACAGGAGGCAGGCTCGGTTCTGGATCACATGCTGTCAAGAAGCGGGGCATTCGGTAACCGGGTGACAGGAAGTTTTACCTGGGAGGTGGCAGGATTGAAACGGGCTAGCGTCATCCCTGGTAAAGAGGCAGGATTCACTGATGTTGACCAGAGGTGGGCGTGTTTAGTCATTTTGTGGTTGCAGAATGACCTTGTCTGAGCATCTCTGAGTTCAGGTGGGAACATCATGGTCAGGCAGCCAACAGACAAGTGTTCACTCTCCTTCCTTATGTTAGAGCATCCCGCACGGTCCAACCCACCAAATGGGAACAATGGACAGGTCAGCCATGCTGTGCAGGGGCAGCTCAGGCCACGGGTTACAGGCACTCCCACAGGTGTCCTTCCAGGCCAGGAAACTGAGGTCCAGAGAGATCAGAGGAGTAACTCGAGGCTACCCAGCTGGTAGGTTAGGGGGTTGGGCA